TTATTTAAACAGGGACACAGGAAGTACCTCCCTCTCTCGGGGAAGCTAGGAGCACTGCAGGAGGTAAGATTTTATCTCTGAGCTCTGACCTCTCGGCTTTCTCTTTTACTTTGGCTCTGTGTTTCTTATTTTAATAATACGATTGGTTACATCTACAGGTATCTGCAGCCAGTGCTGTCCTTGAATTCACTAAGTAGATCTGGCTGGCTTCAAACTCATGGTGATCCTCCTGCCTCAGCCTCCTAGTTGTATATACTTTATAATGACTTACATTACTATTCAATGTAGTCCATCAACTGCTGGCTTTGAAGATTGAGATAGATGAAAAGGAAAAACAGTAACTGCATAAAATGGAAAAAAAGTCACACATGTAAAGAATATTTTAGGACTTTAACAATAGTTCTTATGTTTTCAAGAATTTAGGAATTAGAAAAGATATTGAAGATGGCTCATCACAACTCACTGCTCCAAGATCATCAGGCTATCTGGTTAAGTTTTTTCACACTAGGTTTCTTGTACACGTTAAATAAAACAAATATTTTTACTGATACTTATTGCTTAACTTCAATAACTTTACTTTGTGTATCTAATAAAATTAAAGCGATTAAATATCCCTTTAAATAAGGATTTGTTCCCCGTATCATACCTACTAAGCTACATACACGAAGCTACCTTTAAAAGCAATGAAAGGTTATGGGAGGTTTGTATTCCAACTTAAAAACATAAAACGTGTAATGTTTTAATAAACATAGTAATTCGGGATTAAAATTCTGACTTTTGAATTTTTTCTAGTTTAATCTCTGAAAACTGAACCAGGACAGTTTATATATTAACTGGGACAAGGCTGGGAGAAGACTGAGGAAGCAATACTCCAGAACATTCTGTAATCTGTCTCACTTAAGCGTATACAAATGTTTAACAAGAAATCACAGGACAAATTCATGTCCGTTTTGAAAATTCTCAACCGAGGTTCGAAATGTCCACGAAAGGGGAATTCAGTGAGACTTTAAAAGTGCCTTTTTCCTGTAAAGCTACGTGCTAAGACGACCCCCATCCCCCTTTGGGCTCATTTCTTTGCTTCGGTGTAGGTTTTCACACTGAATGGTGACTACGATCCAGGGGCAGACTTCTCCGGCGACAGCCAAGCGACCAAGGGTGCTGTTTTGAATGCAGTCGAGCATTCGCAGCCGCCAGCGAGGGAGCGCTCCGCAAGCATTTCGCAGCTTGTTAACCGACTCCGGAGGGCAAGGTCCAGCTAATCCTTGCATAAGCAAGAAAATGACCGTTGACAACTCAATCACACACACAGCCGCCAACTCCCTGAGCCCAGCAGTCCTCGCCTCTTGGCAGCCAGCTTCCGATCGGCTGCAAAAGCTCAAGGCCCTCCCGCCCCAACGGCGCCTGCGCGAAACCTCCACCTCCTCCAACCCTTTCTCAGAGCAGTCCACGGGGGCCGTTTTTAAAGTTATTATCAGGTTACGCCTCACTTTAAAAAAAAGAAAAAAAAAAAAGTACGACAGAGCACGCTAGAACGACCACTCACCGAAGTGGTCCTAAATGCAAACGGCAGGTTTTAACTCTCCTCTCGCGACTTATCTGGTGCTGCCGGAAGCGGAACTAGCGGGGTCGGTGTTTGGGTTGGAGGTGGGCGGGCGGGGAGGGGGGGAGGCGGGAGTGAGCTGTGGAACAGGAAAGCTCAGGCGGATCGTTGGCCCGGGCGGAAACTGTCCCGGCCGGTGCAGTTTCCGTGTGAGACCGGTGGAGGGCAGGCCGGGGAAGAGGCGTGTCGGAGACTCCCGGGGTGTAGCCGTGCCCGCGGGTCCGCTGTGGCCGGAGAGGGGAAGATTCAGGTCCACGCCTCCGTGAGCCGCCTCTGCCCAAACGCCTCAGCCTGGCCCCCCGCGATTAACCGGGGAGGAACCGAAACCTGGATGGGCTCTAGCATCTCCCGCAGAGCGCTTGGTTGACCGCAGCAGCCGAGGCAGGTGAGGACCCGGAGCTCGGTGGGGAACCGGAGCCAGACCCGGAGGCTCGCCGCCGCCTCGAGGTGTTTGCTTTGTCTCGCCTCCGCTCTGCGGACCCTAGACACGTGCTCTTGCAAGAGACACGGACCGTGGCGGATGACAACGTGGTCTGGGAGGAGTGACAGGACAGCTCCGGGGGTCCTTTTCAGGCTTGACTTCCCTTGCACTTCCCGCCTCGCTTCCCCTTTCCATTTCTTGGGTTTGAAAAAGCCAGAAATTGCAGTTCAGCTAGCAGGGAGCTGCCTAACTTCTAACGGAGGTGTGTGCGTGTGTGTGTGCAGCGTTGTTTGGATTCTGCCGTGGGGAGAGGTGGCTGTGTGATTCCTTAGTCTCCATCCCTCTGCCTGCCTTTGCTTTCCACACCCACTTTCCAAGAACAAAAGCCCTGTGAGCCCGCAGCTTCGCAGGGTGAGATACGGGGTTGCAGGTCAATGCCGCACCCGCACCTTATTGATTAGACGGCCTTGCGTCTTCCCGTGTAGGTAATGACCTTTGGATATCATCCTCGAGGTTCTGGGCAACTTCCTGAGAGTTACCGTTCTTGGAGTTTTGTGGTAATGGTTGTCTTGTTTCAGCGTCCTAGAAGTCTTAGCTGTAAAAGTAGAAGCATGGCTGACTCCAGCATTAGCGTCCTAGCCTACCCGGGGACAGGACTTTGTTTCGCTATTACAGTTTTAAAAAACGGAAATATGTGGTTTTAGAGCGATAACATGATGATAGCTACTATTTAATGGGTAGCAGCCAAATGCTTTGCACATATATTTTCATCCAGTCTTTCAAGAGTTCCATGAAGGTTGTTAGATTATTCCTTTTTTTTTTTTTTTTCAGCTGGAAAATGGAAAGTTAGTGAGGTCATGTAACTTACCCTAGTAACATTTTGCTACGAGTAAACCTTTGAAGCTTTACTAGAAAGTAGATCTGAATCCAACATCTGCATTCTATTGTCCTGCCATTATTCTCGTTATTATGATTTCTTCACTAACATTTTGAGTGGCTAAAAGTTATATTTGTCCATTTAAGAAAGCACATAGTGTGCTTTTTTGTGTCTGACAAATGACAGCCATGATCTCTGTGCAACTTCTGTGTGTGATGTAGAATTAAATATTTCAGAACCTCAAATATTCTTTCTTGCAATATAGACTTTTAAAAAATGCAAGTGCTGAAGCTGATGAAGGGTCATAATTGTACAATAAAACTTGCTATTTAAGTGTTGGATCAATGTGATTTGTAGATTAAGGGTATTAAACTGAACATTATGAGGGTATTAAATTGAGCAATTAATAAAATGTTGACTCTAATGCTAGACATATAAGCAGTTGGTGCAGTCTGTCCAAAAATTTGAAGTGTTTGCTAATTAAAAATAAACCCTTGAGCTCTCATAGAAACAGATCATTGGAAAGAGGTCTTGATAGAACTTGAAGGGTGGGGAAAGGTTAAGCTATGTGTTTGGGGTTGGTAGACAATGCATGAGAATTGTCTGGAAAACATTCTTTGAAGTCTTCCAGTTGTTTATTTCAAGGAGAATAGGAACTTCCACACCAAAAAAGCTGACTCAGCGGAAAGGTGAATTCCCAATAGAAGAGCTGACTCAGCAAAACAAGCTGTATACCTTTTGAAGAGGGAGGGGAATCAGTGCCAGAGCTGTATGGAACTTGGAACAGGCTTGGTTTGTATAAAAAAAAAAACTATTCTAGCTTGCCTTTGCTAGCCTGAAGAAGCCAACATTGAGCTCTTTATGTAGCTTCTTCTTATTGTGCTGGAATTAGCTACTATTTATAACAATGTTTCCCCTGGAAAATGTTCAGTGGATCTCAGGAAAACCGGTTATGTTTTTGTGTTCTGGTTCAACAGCCGTTATTGGAGTTCTAGTTTCCTTAGGTTTTTTTTTTTTTTTTTTTTTTTTTAGTGGAAATTTACTCCTTGGTGGCTGGGTTTTAGTGGAATCTATGGGAACGATAGCTTGAAAGATCTTTTGAAGGGAGCTCTAAATACTGTTCAGGACTGATGGTTTATCCAGGATGTTATTTTAAAGGACCTAGCTCTACCCAGTATCAATGAACTGTTTATCCAGCGCTGTAAGACTGGAGTGTTGTAACAAGGGTGCCACAAGCAATAGCAGGAGAAGTTCTGAGCTGGCCAGCATCCTCTGCCAGAAGGTACACTCTAAACTTAGCTGAGTTTAGAATTTTTTTTTTTTTTTTTTTTGTCAGTTAAAATAAAGTCAAAAACTTCTTTACAACCATAGTTAGCCACTTACAGAATCAGCTGATGTTTCTTGAGTCCTTAACGTATGCTAATTGTCGTGGCACGTGCATTCTCATTTAATCTGCAAAACTATGGGATTTATAACCCCATTTTATCTGGTGGCTAGAGCTGGGCAAAACATAAAGAGAGCTGAGCCAGTGTCTGCGGGGGAAAGTTGAAGTTCATTTTGCTAGAGTGGAGCAGTTCTCAAAGTGAGACTCCTTGCAATTTCGGCATCACCTTCGAGTTTTAGGAGGGCAGAATCCTGGGCTCAGCCCTAAACTTTCCTGGTTGAGATCTGAGTCCACCAAGTGGTTCTGATATATGTTCAAGTTTTCCAGTTGCTGCTTGGCATGTGTGGGAACTAGTAAATGGAACACATTTCAAATTTGGAAGCCAGTGTTAAGTCATTTTAATTTTTTGCACTCATCTCAAATGTAGCTGCTTGTCTGTTTGTTAAAATACAATTTCTCTCTTTAAGAATTCCTGCTCAAAACTTTTGTGATAGGCCAGTAATGTGTTTATTATTATGGTGTAACCAGTCCATTTGGGGACCATTGCTACAAAAGGAATCTTAAAACTAAAGAAAGATTCAATTCTGATATTTGAATAATTCATAGATCTTTCAGACTAGGCAGTTATTGTCACTTTGGAAATTCATGAATCAACATTGAGCAAATTGTTGAGTATTGATTGTGTGATGCTATGACTACAATCAGTGCAAGTTGTAGATTTCAAGTGAAATAAGCATTGAGAATACTCTAGATCTCACATTCTCATTAAATTCAATTTTGTGGGAGACTGTATACCACTTGAGAGGGAAAAAACTTATTCAATATTTTTGAGTACTTATTAAACATCTGTAATAATGTGGTAAAGAACTATGAATTTTTTTTTTTTTTTTTTTTTGCTTGTATTAGTGACCTTAGGTTTAAACAGACCTGGCTTTTGCAGATTTTTTGATTGATTGTGTGGTCATTGATTGGTTGATTTAATATTATTTAAATTATTGGAATACTTAGGCCTCATGTTCAGTATTATTGAAATGATAAACATTTATCTATGTACTTTAAATATTTATAAGATGGGGAAAATATCCACAATCAAAGATGATTTGAGAGCGTTTATTCACAAAGCAGTAATTGCTTCCTAACTTTTTCCATGTTAAGGCATACATTGAAAATGAGTCTCTTTGCTGTATCATAGGGAAAACCGAACTCAGTGCTGCTCAAGTTATCTGAGTAGGGCTCATAGCCATCTGAATGGCTCAGACAATTTTTGAACATGCCTAATTTTACATTCATGGTTGAGCAACATGTTAGGAAGCTCTGCATTAAAAAACTAAGTCTTTAGCACATAAAAACATTGAGTAAAATTTCACCTTGAGGTTTATATTTGCAGAGCTGTATACAGCTGAGATTATTAAATAATAAGACTGTAGGTCACTTAGGCCGAATGAATGATAAAGGGAATAAATCTTGAATATTGGGAAATTTTGTGGAGAAATATTTATATTGAGATAAGCCAAGCACCAGGAGGACAGAGATTCTATACTTTATCAGTTTTAGATCCTTTTATTATAGAAGATAATCTGATTTCTTATAATAGCAAACTTCATAGTCATGAAAGTGGTGAGCATGTGTTTTGCTTCCTTATGCTTTTATTATTTTACTCTTTTCCCCTTCATTTTTTTTTTTGGTCGGGGGGAGGTAGTACATGACTAAACTTGACTGCTTGTTGGAACTGCTTGGGAAACCTTACGAAATACCCAAGTCCTACTCAAACATTCTCATTGGTGTGGAGTTTGCCCCAAATTTGGGGTATGGATACCTTTAATGTATGTATGTATATTCAACCCTTACATGGGCTATGACAAGTACAGTTTACTTATATAGAAATTGAGGACCCAAGAGATCAAATACAATTAATTATAAAGGACAAGAATCCAGCTTAGGTCTTTTGACTCCTAAGTTCTTTTTTTAAGCATTGATTGGTTCAGCTTTTTAATAATCTCTCTCATATGTTGAAATAGAATTACAGGAAAATAAATGGAAGCATTACCCAGCCTTATATTCTTTTGAGGGCTAATTGCTCTGCCCACCATTATAACACAGTTCTTTACGGTCTAACCTGCCTACCTCTTCTTCATCTCCTGCTTTTTCTGTGCAGTTCAGAAAGTGATTGTTACCCCGAGTCCTCTGAACATTATTTTCTCCATATTTCCTTTGCTTTCCTGTTCTGCTCTGACCGCCTTGACTGTTCTTTGGACTCAGGAAATGCACCAAGTGTACTTCTGCTTCAATGTTCCATGTTTCTTGACTAAAATGATCTCAATATATCACCCCCGGCTTTGGTCAGACGTCCTGTGTTTGGAGAAGATGTCCTAGCACATGCTTCGTTGTCGGTTCATCTACTGTCTTTCTCCGGTGAACACATAAGACTCGGGTTTAGGTATAAGCTTACAGTTGTTCAGAGGACATGTACTCTTGTCCTCTAGGCAGCATTCAAAAGATACAGCTCAATTCTGTAAGTGGTGTGTGTGTGTTGTAGGTGGGGGAGGCAGATCACTTACTAATTTATATTGTTGGGGGAAGAAGAAAGGTGCTACACACCTTCTCACCCTATCCTTGGGTGATTTCTGCTCCCAATGCAGACTATTCATTGAAAAGACTAGTAGGAAGTAGAAACCAGTATTTTTTTAATTTACATATGTGTTTCATGTGTATGGTTTGTCTGTATGTATGTCTACACACCAGAAGAAGGCATTAGATTCCATGGGACTATAGTTGTGATCTGCCATGTGGGTGTTTGGAATTGAACTCAGGACCTGTGGTAGAAGACACAGTGCTCTTATTACTGAGCCATTTCTCTAGACCCACAAATCAGTAATTTTACAACCAACAATAGCAATCATATTTCTGTGACTCGTCATTGGATTCTTGACTAAGTTTTTCAAAATTTTACATTCATGTGTTTGCATTTCACAAAGAATATTTAAAGGAAAAACAAACAACAACAAAACAGCACTGTCTGTAAAATGAGGTGGTTTATTTTTATCATTTTTGTTACGATACTTAAACTAGAGATACAGTTGTTTGTGTTTAGGGAAGTGTGTCTATGAGAAGTGAATAGTATTTATTTAATAAATATGTCCAATTCAACAAATAGCCAGCAGTACTCTTAGATTTCCATGTTATGTTAGTAGGAAGCTTAATTTATAGCAGTTCACACAGAACTGTTGCTTTATTAAGTATTCAGTATGCGTGAAGCACTGTGCTACATCAGTCTTCACAGTTACAGGCTGTTGGTATTTCTTTCTCACACGTACACACACACACACACACACACACACACACGGGTGGGAGGGAGTGAGGGAGGGAGAGAGAAAGAGAGAGGGAAACTGAGATTCAAAGACGTTAGCATAAGTTGTTAGTTGTTTAGTAGCAGGTTGGTGTAGTTGACTCCAAGCACATACCCTTTCTGCTACTAAAATATTTGGAGAGGTTTAAGTGGAAACAAGATACAGAGCACTCAGAGCCCCCAAGGATGTATGCCATTTAGTAGCAAAGCTGAGCTGAAATTATCTACAGCTATGAAGTTATAGAAGCTTATGGGTTTTTTCCTTATTATCAAATGCTTTTTAATATTAAAAAGTGCATAAGGAATAAAAACAAAATCTCTTTAAATAAATACATTATTCTTTCAGTTTAGTCCCAAATGATTTTAACTTTTATAACAATTTCATGAAGTCAAGGCTTAGTGAGTAAAAGTAAACTGATCGTAATATTTCACAGAGAGTCTTCAGTGAAACTGGATCAGACCTCTGGAAATAAGAATTTTGAGTTGTGCTTTGTAAATCTATCTAGCACATTAATCAATATTTTTTAAACATTACTTGATTAAGTAGTTTTTTTTTTATCCAGTCATCAAATGGAATATTGACACACGATTTCATTTTGGCAGATAACTAATTTTAATGTCACCAGTGTTCAAATACATGTAAACAGCTTTGTAAGGGACAGTTTGAGATTATATTACTAGCATATGGTAGTTAATTAGTGGATTTTCATGGAGGGTTTTTATTGGGAGTGTCATTGAATCATATGCAGTTTCTTGACGAGCACATTATATTAGGAGGCTGTATCAATTGTGTTATTTTCGCTAAATAGTTTAAAACTATCAGTTTGAGAACTTCTATTGAATAAAGTCTTGCTTTCACTCTACTAATTAATGCAGAATAGTTATGTTCACTAAAAAAAAAGCCTGTTTTTAACTGAACTTTTACAGTTGATTTAATGCCGTCTCAGATCGATGCTCAATTTTCAGTTATTAGCAAACTTACATTATGTTTTCTCTGCCCTTGTCTACTCCTTTTAGATACTTCTGCATGGAGGATTTTAACTTTTAACAAACTTTTGTTTTATAATTTGCATTAATTTATACTTTCTCAGGTCCATTATTTGTCAGGTACTCTTTAGATTTGAATTGAGTGTAATCTTTCTGTTATGTTTTGTTATCTCATCCACTTGTGCTGATGTATTTTACTAGAATATATAATCTTCATTACTTAATTTTATGGAAGAAAATCTATTTTCATTTTGGTGGCCTTTATCAGGTTATTGGTTCTGATTTTTCTAATATCATTTAAAATTGTTTTATGTGTTTTTAAAGTACACTCTTCAAATTAATTGTTTGCATTGCATTTTAGGTAAAAGGATTGCTGTTTCAACTCAGGGAAGCAGTAGCCTCGTTGTCTTTGTGTTTAAACTGCAGCAGCAACTTGGAGACCAACAATGAAGCCATGATATCTGAGAACAAAGGAGCATTTGCCAACTAAATGTCAGCACATTTCACGGGATTGTGTAACAACACTGCAGCAGACCTGTGTGTCAGCTAGCACAGCGAGAATGTTGTCTTCCAGCACTACTTATTGGAAGAGGTTTTAATGTAGATTCCTGAAACTTGTCATTTATCAAATGAAATAAAAATGAGTGAAGCCCCCAGATTCTTTGTTGGGCCTGAAGATGCAGAAATAAACTCTGGAAATTATCGTCGCTTCTTCCACCATGCAGATGAAGAGGAGGAGGAAGAGGATGAGTCTGTGAGTTGTCTCTTTTGTGAGAAACCAGTACAGAACAGAACTTTGTCTAATTACTGTCAATGTAAATGAATACTGTGATTTTAAATTAAGACTACTTTTTAATGTGCAAATTTGTGAAAAAGTCTTTAATTGAAAAAGTATAAGTGATAGTGAGTAGACAGGCATTTAAAAAGTGTAATACATGTAGCTGGAGATAAGATCCTGAAGTAGTTTAACGACAGTTCAGTGTTGTGGTAAGATATCAAGAAACTCCTTAACTTGGTTTATGAAGTTCAGTAAGACTGTCTCAAAGGCCTGCTTAGTACATGTGTGGTAAACGAATGTATCTGCACGCCGAGTCCACGTTGCATCTTAGAAGTGGAGCACATCTGTTAGACTCATTTTCTTCCTTGTTCTTCACAGGCAGAGATTATTTTATTTGGGGAACTGATTTAAAATGCAGACACATGTGTTGATTTTCTTAAATTTCAAATTAAAAATAGAATCTTATTTTAAAAGAAAAGCCTGGCCGGGCGGTGGTGGCGCACGCCTTTAATCCCAGCACTCGGGAGGCAGAGCCAGGCGGATCTCTGTGAGTTCGAGGCCAGCCTGGG